GTAATACTGTTAGTAAGTCCAGGAACGCGGTTAGTAGCAAATACAGATATATATATATAGTCTCGAAGTAGGACTTCCTTATAGTCTACGTGCTTGTAACTGACTTCTACAAGAGGTTACCTCACTCTATCTCTGTTCGTATATTCTCTCACTATCCGTATATCCTCTCTCACTAACTGTCTAACTCTGGGTATTTAACGGCAGCACTCCAAGTAACACTGGTAGAGTCCACTTATATGAAAAGGGGAGGACCCCACAACAATATAGATGACAGTTATAGATATTTCTGAACAGGTTTGGTACCATGCATGACATCCATATGAATGTTTTGATCTGACAAGGCGATTTAAGAACATGACTCACATTTTTTAAATGGCATTGGAACAACCATTTTTATTTTTATCACCCCTGTTGTGCTTTCCCAATAAAAATAGGCAAACATGTGCTATGCTTAAATGTTAGGAAATTTGACTTCATATATTACCGGAGTTGTTTGGATGATGGTAAGATTTGAAGAAAAAAGAAATAATTTCATGAACTGTACTTCTGTTGCTTTATCTTGCACTCATACAACAACACACTGTAACTCTTTACCTTTTAGTTTTGGTTATAATCAAGTAATTAGTATGGAGTGAGTCTAATAAATAGCAGTTATTTTAAAAAATGCATCAAATGTTGTTTTTGTAATGGATGGGGGGGTACTCATTTTATTTCCTATATTTTCACACAATTTTATACCAAGATTTTTAAGTATTGATTTTTTTAAAATGTTTTTCTACTCCCAGAATGACTGGTTTATCTTTGCCCTGACAGAACTTTTTAAACCTATATATAATTTATTTATTTATTTAAAGGATTTGTTTTAAATATCTGAAGCATTGCCTTCACCATTTTCTCTTAGTTAGATGTGATATCCATCCAAGTCCTCAAGTGATGTGGTTTTTGTTATTTGGTACAGTTTTTTGTGATTATGTAGCACCAGTCCACAAGGTTCATAGAAGAGTGGTCGACCCAAGCCTTGTGAATGAAATTGGGTAGACGGAACACTTGGGACAATCGATAGCTGTGCTAGCACGAAGTCACAAGTCATCGTGACCGAGGGCTTGAGTGTGCTGGTGTTGTTCAGATTGATGATCATTCTAGATAACACGCTCTCTCCCAGAAACTGTAACTAAGGTCTGCTCAGCATAGTTGCAGTATAAACCAGAAGTTGGCTCTGTGGATGTTAAATAAACACAAATGTGCCTGAGTCTGCAATAGGGATTGGATAGCCGCCCTAGTAGACCGGTATGCCAAAATACGAGTGGCCAGCTATCATATATATATATATATATATATATATATATATACTTTCATAAAATAAAACATAATTATTTTTTAATTTGCAACTTTTTCTACATATATATATATATATATATATATATATATATATATATATATATATAGTCTTAAGATGGGCTATATTTATGGGATAAAGTGCTCAATATCAGAGATAGAGCGCGTGTAAATATAAAAGTGAACATAGAAGTCAACACTTAGAGGCGACACGTGTGTGTGCGCACGCGCGTGTGGATAAGTGCATACTGAGCTTAACACAAAATAGCAACAGATTATTTCATATTTGAATGTAATCTTCGGGCCGTGTGTGATGTATGCGCACATAAGCAGAAATAAATATAACAGTATTAATCAACAATAAATAACTAAGAAATAAATGATAAATAATGAGTCAAATTTTAAATAGTTTATTTCATCTGCTGGCCTGAACATTAGAGAAATCATATTAAAGAATAATGTGCCTTCCACTGGTAACCATATATGGATCCACAGTTATTTCTAGACAATTATCTCTCTGTTCTTTATATTTCATTAGGCATTTATAGCGATAACACTAGAACTAACTATAAGTACTGTATATATATATATATATATATATATATATATATATAATATTATAAATTAATTGATTTAAAATATTTTTTCCCTACACAATTCCAACCATGTTTCAAAGCGAAAAAAAAAACATATTTTAAATCAATTAATTTATAATATTAATGCTCTGTAAATTTACATTGAGCACTATTTTGTAAAAATAAAAATATCTATAAGAACACCGGATTTTATATCTTACTGTTCTTTCTTTTTATTTATATATATATATATATATATATATATATGCGTATATTTCGGCAGTATGTTTTCATTAAGATATGTTTCGTTGTACAGTTTAGACATATTCAGTCTACTCATTTTCAATGAGATCCTTTCATAATCTCTAAGTTTTCATTTGAATAATATATCTAACATTTCTATACATTTACAACATACCTGTCCACATTCGCAATTCAGAAAATCCTGGTTGAAATTACTCTATGCTTTTCACGAAAAGAATAAAGTAAAAATTCTTGAAGCTATCTATATTAAAAAATTGAAACCAAATCTTAATAAAATTCATTATGAATACTTTACAAATATTTTAAAATGTGTATAATAAGTTGAAATGCCAAGGTTTAAAATAATAGTTTCTCTTTTTACTATTCATGTCTTAAGAAAACTCTCCAAACCATACTGAGTTACCTCCCTTTAAACGATTTCTGTGGTCACACACTGATACAGCATTCCTCCCTCCATTTTTAAGAAATGTAACATTCATATAACACAACAATTTGTCTCTGACAATAATGGATACTATAATATTTATTTTATTATAAACAATACCTTGATGATGACACGGATATGTCGAAAGTACTTGACGGCGATTTTCTCTCATCTTTCAATAATGACATAAAAAAAACTTACCGCGTGTATGAAAGGATCTTATCGAAAATGAGTTGACAGAATATGTCTAAACCGTACAACAAAACATGTTTAATATATATATATATATATATATATATATATATATATATATATATATATATATATATATATATATATATATATATAAGTTTTTTTATTGTATTGAACTCACACGCTTTGAGCCCTGTCACTGGATCTAACTAATGCCTTTATCCACTGTGCCATGTGTCCTTGAGGACATTTGTGTATAGATTTCTGGGACTCTTAAACCTAATATCTTCAGCAACCATTTTTACCAGTGCTCATATTGCAATTTTTGCTGTTATCATTGCATTTTTTTTACCAGAGGTCATGTAGCAATTTTCGTTTACTACTATTATTGCTTTTCTGTGGCACTCCTTATTACTGGTTCCCATATTGTATTTATTTCTATGCTTGCTCGGCACAAGAGATTTTTTCTGGCCTAACATATGTGTTGATTCCGTAAGTTTACGAATTTTCCAATGATGTTCTTTGTCTATGATTTCAACCTGATCTCACAGAGGGCGGTGGTCTCCTTTTTCTCTCCATATGTGGTCAGACACGCCTGATTTTTCCACTTCACCTCGTGTTACAGATTGTTGCTGTTCTTGAAGCCTTACCATACGTTACGATAAATATTGCAGCAAAGATTAGGACGATAGTTCGAACAATGTAAATAGTGTATATAATACCTCATCTCAGAAATGTAGACAGATACTAAAGTGCTCATTGTTTAGGAAAAAGTTGCCTCAGTTCTCGAATAAAAGAACACTAACGAAGGACAGTTTATTAACGAAATCTACTTTTTTTTTAAAAAATCAACATGAAAATTAGTTAAACCTGAAGAGTGATATTGCCTAGAAATAGATAATATATAATACAGATATTGCGCTTTTAGCGTGTCATTGCACCAAGGAGAGGGATCGTTGCTCTTTTCGAGGCCAGCGCAACCGACGGATGCGTGGGCTGCGGACAATTTTTGTTTCTTGTCCGGGTGTACGCGCTTGGGTCTCCGCCTTAAAAAAGACCTTGTGTCACAACTCGTCTTAGTGCGGAAACAGTAAATACCTAGTGTGTAAATTGCACTCTCGAATAGTGTGTACATATTGATACTTACCGGTCGCAGGGATTCGTCCCTGTGACTGGTAAGCATCAATATGTACAAACTATAATAATAATAATAATATACATGACATACAAACTATAATATTAATGTACATGACAGGAAAAAGAAGGAAATTACTGGAAAGTAATTGAAACTCACCTAAAGCGAGCTGAATGTGTAATGCTTCTCATGCCAATGACACTTCCACCGAGCTTCTCTACGGCATATGACTTCACTGAATTTTGATGTGTTCCTCTCGAATTTATATTTAAACTGGGGTCATCAGGAGAGAATATGCACCGTTTCGGGGCCTTCCTCCTAACGGTTTCAGTTGCACACCGCCCCCACTCACTGATGTGAGGCTCCATTATAACGATATACAAGTGTTGTTGATAAACTAGTTCAAATGTGTAACGGCGAAATTAAATTTACGAAAATTCCGAAAAACGGCAAACCTCGCGTTCTAAGAATGCAACATTACGCATTCACGATCAGTCATGTCATACCGTCATGTTCGCTGAAACACTCCACGGAGTATTTCGTTTTTTCCATATCCATATAGAACTATTCTCAGTTACTTCTATTAGGCGTTTTATACTTTTGGCCCTATTACGCCCTTTGATTCCAATTTGGCCCAGAAATTGGTACAGAGTGCCTAAAACGAAACCCCTTGCTCCAATTTCCACTGCTCTAACAATTGCATTATACCCCTCCTATATATAATATATAGCTATAACGAGCTTGAACGAGCTATGACCAATTAAGACCAGCTATGAATAGCTTAGACCAGCTCTGACCATCATGGATTTAACTTTTAGTATTTTTATATTAAAAAACTTCCTTGAAATAGATAAATATTTGTAACACATTTAGTGCAATCCTATATTTCAAATTTAAGAGAAACAATCTGAAAATGTGGTAAGTCCATTCTACCTATGTAGTGATAATGAATTTAGAATGTATGTGATGACATGATTGTTATACTTGTATCCAAGTTTTCGAATCTTATGAGTCATCCCCAAAAATATGTAATTAAGGCATTATGTGAAAAACATATATATATATAGAAAATTTCTCACTGTAAAATTTTTTCGGTCTCTTCGTTTTCAGCATCTGTGTCTTCATTGTATTCATTCCCACATACACTTGGACGATGATAATCTGGGCGCGATGGTACCTTGGAATTCGCATCTAAAAATATAAGTAAATAAGAGAAAACATGTTGAGGTAGCATTTTTTAATACAAAGCTAATTCTGTCTGTGTCCAGGGATATCGCGTCTTGTTCTTTTTGTGCTGTTCAGTTACTGCTGACCCTTTTCAACTGAGTTCAGGTCTGCACTGAGCAGCACTAAAAATATAGACGAGATATCCATTGACATAGACAGTGGAAGGATTCGGTTTGAAATTCCAAGAAAGCAAAAAGGACATTTTCTTTCATTATTATTATTATTTATTTGTTTATGTCATGGGACCTTACCTATAACTACAGAATGAACTCTTCCTAACACTATGTATACTACCCCTCTCAAGAGAGAGGGACGAATCATTTGAGCTTCGACTTGACTGTCGAACTCTCTGCTTTTTGAGCAGAAAGGAAACCGGACGAGGTTCCGCCGAAGGGCAGAATCTCGTTCGGGGAAAATGACCAACCCGATCTCGTTTATACGGGTTATACGGGCATTTTTTGGCTGAGCCTACGGGCTCGGAAAACCCACGATAAACTCGGCCTTGTGCCACATGCAACCCTTTTGGGGGTGACTAGATACCGAATCAAGCCGAGCTTCTCGGCTTGACGGTCGAACTCTCTGCCTCTGAGTAGAGAGGAACCGGGACGAGGCTCCGCCGAAGGGCAGAATCTTGTTCGGGGAGGTTGACCAACCCGATCCCGTTTACATGGGTTCTACGGACATTTTTTGGCCGACCCCTACAGGCTCAGAAAATCCACGTTAAACTCGGCCTTGTGCCGCATGCAACCCTCGTGGGGGCTGATAGATACCGAATCAAGCCGAACTTCTCGGTTTGACGGTCAAACTCTCTGCCTCTGACCAGAGAGGAACCCGGACGAGGCTCTACGGGCATTTTTTGGCCGAACGGGTTCTACGGGCATTTTTTGGCCGAACCTACGGGCTCAGAAAACCCACGTTAAACTCGGCCTTGTGCCACATCTTTCCCACGTTGGGAGGGGCAGTAAATATCGAATCGAGTCGAGCTTTTCGATTGACGGTCGAACTCTCTGCCTCTGAGGAGAGAGAAACCCGGATGTGTCAAATCCGTTACATTCACTTACGTGCTAATACCCTTGGGAAAGGTATGAATCCTCTTCTTCTCCTCCCCCAGCTATGGGTAAATAGCAGGACAGCCCGGGTTCTGTAGCCTTGGATGGCAACTATTCTACCGCAGAAAGAAATGTTAGCCTACTGCAGGAAAAAAAATCTGCCTCGTCAGTCATGTATCGAAAGATACATGACCGCCTAAGCGTGTATGACCGAGAACGAAAAGAGTAATCAGGAGGACAATAGACAGCGATTGACATTGCATTTAAATTTTTGTAGATTAAAGTTGGCTGGAAAGCATGGCACAGGAAGGGAGCTCCACAAACAAGAAGTGCGAGAAAAGAAACTGTTAGCATAGAACTTACGGTTACATCTAAGCCAGCTCAACTGTAAATTGATGAGACCTCGACACCGGTCTAGTACTGTGCTTAAATTCAAAATATCTATGTCGTGATGAGTTCATCTGAACAATTTCAACAAAAGTTTTTATAGAAAAGACACAGGGAGACAACCTTACGGCGGTGGGAGAGTGACATGAATTGTTATTAATTTGCATTTATTTGAAAGAAGGGGATATAAATTTAATAAGTTTGTTTTTTTTATTTATGTTTATCATACTCATACCATTCCCAACTTTTTGACTCTTCAAGTCTGAATAATATCTGTCATTTTTTTTCTTTTTACTATTAACTTGAAAAAAATAAGGTAAGTGGTTACCTTAAATTTTTTAGAATATTTTTTTTAGAACTTTAACTAAGATGAAACTTATATATACATGAAATCGTTTGTCAAATGGTCAGCCAGAAAACTAGCTTCACAGCTCCTAAAACTATTTAGCAAGGCAACCCTGTAGGATGAAACTTATCAAAGGGCGGAAAAAATGTTGATAAGTAAAATCACCAGCTAACTATTGATGGTGTCTCAATAAAACACTGTGGAGGAGGCAAGGGAAAACCACTCCACTAACAGTTTCAATACCATTTGTAGTTATCGAGAATGTTATTATCAGAGAAAAATGTTGGGGGTGGGGTGACCGTCAACATTCTGAAGGGACATGGAATTTAGAAGGAGAAAATAATGAAAAACATTTCCCTATATTTCCTTTGAATACATGACAATTCACAGATAAAAAGATAAAATCTGCGGAGGGTCATGATTAACTCTATTGCGATAAGACGCAGTATAAAAAGATGTATTATTGTTTATAGGTTATGGATTTCTCTTTATATAATTATTAATGAGCAAAGATAAAAGGAGAGACTCTCGAATGAAATATTACTAAAAGGAATAAAGTGGGAATATAAGGAAGGTTATAAGGAACAGGTTTTTAAATTTAATGCCCCCAAAACGAAACTGTTCTCTTTTAATCGTCCTAGAGAACCCAATTTGTCTTCAACAGCATGGCTGATGCTAACCTCCAGAAAGTGCAATTTCTTGGGCTAACGTTTTCCATTGAAATGAAGTGGAAAGATTATGTGGAATCAATTGCTACGTCTACTGCCAGAATAGTTGGTTCCTTGTGTCATTCTAGAAAATTTTTCTCACCAGAATCTATCTTCTTATTTCTTTTTAATAATTTCACCCGAAATAAGGCACTGGAGCCACTAACACGCATGGAGTTACTGAGTGTGGAACAATATAAGAAAAACATTACTAAGGAGTGAGAATAATAAAAGAACAGAATTTAAAAGTACAGAAGATAACGATTAACATTGATAATCAATGTTGACTGTAAAGCAAGAAGAGAGTTCCACAAAGGATAAGTGTGAGAAAATAAACTGTTAGCATAGAACTTACAGCTATATCTAGCCATTTCAATTGTAAAATTATATCTTACTACCAATTACATTTATAAGTCTACTATTCGTCAATGAATTGCATATTGATGTCACATCTGGTCTGGTGCTTCTGCTATGTATTTAGATATTCTTGATAAATTACAAATACGAATCTGCAATATTATTCGTCTTGATCTGGCATCTCGACTTCAGTCACTTTCCCATTGACATTACATAGCTTCCCTGTATCTTTTTATAAATATATTCATGGTAATTCTTCTGATGACTTTTCCTATATAGTAGCTAGACTTTATGAATTTAAGTGCAGTACTAGATTGGCAGCTAGGTCTCATCATTTTACAGTTGAAATTGCTAGATGTAACCATAAGTTCTATACTAACAGTTTCTTAATCTGATAAGTGTGTTCATGGTAATTGTTCTGATGAGCTATCCTCTTTGGTACCTAGACTTTATGAATTTAAGAGCAGTACTAGATTAGCAGCAAGGTCTCATCATTTTACAATTGAAATGGCTAGATATAACCATGTTCTATTCTAACACATTCCTCGCTTGTTGAACTCTCTTCCATTTTCTTGTTCTCAAGTCAAGTTCGATATCTATATTTCTGATATGAGGTATTGTAACTATTTACATTGTTCGAACTGTTGTCCTCATTTTGTATCGCAGTTTGTTGGAGTTGTTTTCATATATCGGCAGGTTTAAGCATAGCAATGGACTCAATATTTTCAGTAGCAGTTGCTAACTTATACATGGAATAGTTCGTGGAAATGGCATTAGAAACAACATCAGTACAGCCAATGCTATGGCTGAGATAAGTAAATGACACCTTCATACTGTGGCCACACCACGTAGGGATCCAACCTCTACTGGACCATGTAAACTCAATAAAACCATCGAAACAGTTCACAATGGAAAGAGAAAACAACAAACTAACGTTCCTGGATGTACTAATATCGCGAATAGAGCATGTGTTCAAGACATCCGTACACAGTAAGCCAACATTCACCAGACAATACCTCAATTTCAACTCCCACCGCCCATAGAGTGTAAAGAAAGAGATCGTCCGCTGCTTACAACATCAAGCAAAAGTCATAAGTGGTGACCCAGAGATATACGAACAAGAAATGGTCAATATACGCAGTATCCTACAAGTTTGATCTTCAAAAATGTAAATGCAATGCCAATCGTTATCTTTTCTCTTCTTAATTCCTGATCTTTTTATTGTTGTCTTTCTTTAATAATGTTTTCTTTTTATCATATTCACTCACACTCAGTGAACTCTTGCGTTTTAGTGGATTTATTGCTCTGCTTGGGGGGAAAGGATTTTATTTTTAAAAAGAGCAGAGATTACTGTAATAATAAGAATAATGTTTGATTTTTAAAAAAATCTAATACGATTTTCTTTTAATTCTACAGTGAAATAATTTCACTTTCTACTTACTCCCTTTTTCATCCGTGAATGAAAGTGATACGATGCTATCTCGGTGGAAATGATTGCAAGGTGAGCCAATATCAAGTCGAGATGCCCGCCGTTTCCGCAGAGTCAAGCTGGCCCGTCGAGCCATTCGAGCAAGCACTGTTTCCTCTGGCGACGAGTCCTGGAGATGGATTTTCCAAGTTGCTTCGGAATTGAAGGATGGATCAGCCGCAAAACAACGCCAAACACACTGCACGAAAGAAAGAGAAAATAGTGAGAAATATCCTATATATTTCAGTACCTCAGTGTGAGGTGATGGTTAACGAGCTACTCCGATTGACCTTAATTACTGTGTAGTGTGCTTGAAATTTACTAGATTCCTCACACTTCTAGAAAAGCACCCGAGCTCTGATAAGAACAGCAAATAACAAACAAAAAAAATGAAAGAATATCAGCTTGTGATGGGGTAAAGGTTAACGAGTTGGGTTGACAATTACTAGTGAATACAGAGTTCGCTCTTCACTGGGCAACGCATACATGTGGGATTTTGCAATAACTAAGGCGTGCTCTGCAAACATTACATCAACGCCTTTTTTATTAGATATTCTCTGAATGCGAGGCTCGAGAGCCACTCAAGGTAAATGGTTACTAAAAGAGGTTGCTGTAAGAAGAAGAAGTAATTGCAGATAATGAGGATTCATAGTGTAGCATTGTAGATCACTCCAGACTGTAGGTTCGTTCTCAGAGTGCTGCTTCTGCCAATCAAATGTTTATAGCTTAAAAATAACTCTTTGGCCAGATCGTTAGCCACGAAATAAAACCATGAGCAGAGACGGCAAAGCAAAATTTTATTCTGGTTCTAACCTATTGCTGTCGACGATCGGGGCAGATATTAGGTAAGAGTAGGTGATTAGTCTAATGGGCATGTCTTCCTTTACGCGTTACAGCGAGGCATTACTATTCTCCCTCTATGGGCCTCTCCGTTTTCGGCTGCTAGTGACCTATGTCTTAATGAGAGAACACCATTCTTTATCTTATCAGATTTATCTAAATAAGAAACGTAATTCATCAAGAATTCAGGCTCTAGAATCACTCGGTGACCTATTTTGTCAGGATCGTTGTAGAAAAATCACGTGGTAGAGATAAAAACTTAGTTGTGTAGCAAGCTAAGTGAACAATAATCCAACCTTTAGAAAGAGAGCTATTTATGTTGCCATAGAGCATCTCATTGTGCTAAAGTGGGATAGTCCATTGCTTGGGCTGTGATTGGCTGCTGGTACCTGAGTGGAGGTATTTCTATATAAATACCAGCTTGATTCAGCTGTTAGTTTGCAGGGTTTGTATTAAGTTACAACCTGCTTTATTTTTGTCTGCCAGCTGGACGCTAGCTGGGACCTTTACACCGGTAAGTGCTGTTTATTATTGTTATTCTACAATCGTTTGATTTGGTTCTTTGGGGGTCTGCTCTATTAAGCTGACTTTCTTTGCCAAGACGAATAATTGTCAAAGAAATTTTTATGATGCGTTGCAGAGGGTCTTTAGCAAGATATCAACTGACAGATTAAGATTGTAGCGATCATGGAAGAATCCTCCGGAGGCAGGGAGGGGGTAAACCAAAAATCCACAGATCAACAAGTAGCTGAGTGAAGCCTCCTTCTACGAAGAGAATGAGGAGATTTCGCTCCTGTGTATTCGGCATAGTGCTTCTTATCTGTAAATGGAAACTGGTCTACTGTAGAAAAAAATGACAACCTATTGTGGGGAAAAATTTGCCTCGTCAGTCATGTATCAAACTGTGCATTGAATACTATTCCTATATGTGGTCTGGTTCACCTACTGTACATCTTGAGTTTATTGCCAAACAAAAAAAAAAATACCAAAACTACATTATTGGAAATTACCAGAAATACATTTTCATAGCAAAAAAAAAAAAAAAAAAAAAGAAAAAATACATGCAATAAATTATTAGAAATTAAAAAAAAATTACTGGCAATATATTTTTGGAAAAAGAACTTCCCAAGTCTCACAAGAAAATAATATTTTGGCATTAAATAACACATAAGGAGTTGATATGTTAAACAAACAAACCAAATCAAACGATAGCTTAAAAAAGGATAATCATACTAAAACACCTCTACCTATTATACCGATTATAGGTTTGTAGCCTGAAAGAGATAAATTTTGATCTGAAATGTTTACTATATAATGCTTGACTTGATAGATAGTCGTTAATTTTATAGACAAGGACCAAAAAGTCATGTTTTCCACTGACATGAAGTGGAATTACTATATCAAATCAATTGATTCGTTTACTGAAAGAATACTTGAGTCACTGTATCATGTCAGGACATTTTTTGTCTCATCAGGATCCATATTGCACATTTACAAATCTAGTATTCATCCGTGTATTGAATACTGTTGCCATATCTGGTCTGGTGCTCCTGCTGTACATCTCGAGATTCTTGAAAAAAAATCCAAAGAAGAATTTGAAATGTAATTGATCCTGACCAGGCATCTCAGCTTTAGTCACTTTCTCACCGACGTGATGTGTCTTTCCTGTTTTGTTAACAAATATTTTCAGGCAACTGCTCTGGCGAGCTTTTTCCCCTGGTGCACCAAGTCCATGAATGCGTGCTACCTTGAATAAGGTTCAGTATATTGTGATCGAACTCGTAGATAAACTTTACAAAGTTCATGTTTGCTCTGTTGATTTGTCCAAGTACTTTCAAGCATCTCAGTCATTTTCAAGAACCATGTGGTGCCTCTTTGGTCGACAAATACCGTTGGTTACAACCTGGCATTCTTTAGAAAGCTGAACGTTTAATATCTGGAGTAAACTAAAATTCAAAGAAAATAACGAATTTTACTCACCTGGATTAATGTTGCTGCTGCGGGAATTTGCCTGTTGAAATGTTTCTGGCGCTGCTTCTGTTGTACTTTGAGAGCAAAACCAGATCCGAGTATTCCCTGAAATTGGAACCGGACTTATATTGATAAAATATTCTCTCTTTCTTTGTGGTTTTGAGGTAAGTTTAACAAAGAATCAGCTATATTACAAACCCTTCCAAGACCAATAGGATGTGATGGGCATAACTTGAGTTAAATATTTGAACCTTTATAACTGACAAAAGCAGCTAGTATAACAGGATATATGAGACAACCTGGGGAAGTGGTAAAGTTGTTTGAGTTACAAATCTACGCCTGACCACAAGATACGTATTTGATGAAGAATATTGTAATCTATCTTTGAAGCTCTTCAAAAAGCTATCAAAATACAAGGATCTTGAAATGGAAATCTAAAAAACGGAGCACACGTGGACATAAATAATTCCAGTTTCTGGGAAAGAAACTTCAAGGAACTGGTGAACAGCACCCATACCTGCTTAGAAGGTCAGCGCAACCGGGCAATTTTTGTACTTGTCCCGAGTATCGTCGTCGGCATCCGTCCGTCTCGAGAGACGATGTAGTAGTGCCTGGGAGTAATATATAGAGAACTAGGGCTGCCCAGACGTCTAGTTCCCTCTCTCGGCCTTGCTAGTAGAGTCCAAAGGAGAGGATAAACCAATACAGTTTGGTACCAGCGCGGCTGCAGGAGTTGCCGGAAGGCAGCACAAGGTGCCGTCCCTCCTCTTTAGGGGCTCCACTCCGGGTTTGAATTCAGAGTTGTCCTTCTCCTAGACCAGTTGCCATCCAAGGCTATAGAATCCAGTCTGTCCCGCTATTTACCCATATTTGCATCCTGTCTCGGTAAGGAGGCATGGGTAAATAACCCAATACCATGGAGATAGGAGGCCTATTCCATGGACGAGACTCATGCGCTGACATCACAGGATAAACTAAGAGAAATATTTTCATAACTTTTTTTTTACTGTTTGACTTTTCCTAACTCTACTTGATTTTTTGTTTTGTAAATATTTTCCCTGAAATAATTTACAAAAAAATTGTTGCATGTCTATGCAAAGGAAATTAGAAAAATGGATCAAAATTAAATGTAATTTCATTAACTTAGTGATTCATGATACATTAGAACAAAGTAATGAGGCAGCCTCCACATTGAATTCTGTGCGTGAAATTAGCATCATTTTTTAAATAATTTTTTTGATTAAATACTTAAAGGTACTTTTTAGAATAATTTCTAATAAATATTTAAAAACAAATGTTTGATTTTTTTTTATTTGTAAAAAAATATTTCCATAAAATGTCCACCAATATACAAGTGTAAACTTTAAATTTGCTTAAGTTTACATATGATTTTGTCTATAAATTTAGTATTCCTAAATGCTTTTGAATTTTGTTATTGAATTTTAAAACACTTACAAAACTCATAATTTTATCAATTTAATGAAATTGTCCATAAAAATATGGACAGCATTTTTTAAATGAAATTTCCCCAATATATCCGGAACTTTCTCTCGTGTTATTGTAGGTTTTTTTTATTATCTCAGATTTTGATAAGTGTTTTAAAATAGGGTGCAATTGCCCTTCTAATTCATTTGTTTTGGTATGCGAACTGCATTTTCGACCTGAGCTCGAAGAAACCTCAGTATTCAATAAGAAATCTGATACCACAATTACTGTTATCTTTTAGAAACCAATTCTTCATGTAGGTACAATCCCTAGGTAGAATTTTACCAAACTGTCCTTCATATTTTTCTTCACTAACTCATTCTAGAGGCATCAGGGTTCAGAAAAATTTAACTGGAGAATTCTGCCCTTAAAAGAGCCTTAGATCAAAGTATTGTTGATAACCTGGAATGCAAACATCAGAGGAGATTCCACAGCATTGATGTTATAGAGGGAATATTAAATTTTCTCTATAGAAATTACTGGAAGCAGCAAAATATTCTTCTTAGTCTTATTATATGTTGCATCATCAAGTCTACATATCCAAAAATTGTTATAATTAAACTTGATTTTGTAGTACATATGTTGTGGAAATTAATACTATATGGAAGTACGAGATTTCTGATCATGTAAATGATACGAATACTTTGAAAATTCTTATTAAAAATATGAATAAAATAAACACAGATGTCAAACCAGATTGCTGCATTATATTTGGTAATGCCATTTCTGTTATTAGTGCAAGACGAGTAATTTAGATATTTTGATGCAGTTTGTAATGAAAAAACCAACGAGATAGGAGCGTGAATTGAGGCTTTATTCAACTGTAACTGAACTCTTGCAACAGTGGAACGTATTCATTTTATAGCTGATCCAGGGAAGACAACTACGATTGACTTCCACCACAATCTTCGCAGCACAGTTTTGTACAGTAGAGCAAATCGATTTCGGAGCCGTGTTAATACGATGGTTATGAGAGCTGGGGTGTAACATGATAAATAATGACACAAAATATTTTTCCCATTACCGTTAGGCGAGGAAACGCCTTTAAAAATTGAAAATTACAGCTTTGACATCTTCTGCCGGTGATCAAAGATTTACCGCCGTCAAAAATTTCCGTACCGTTGGAGAAAGAAAATGTGTAAAAATATCATTTAATTAAAGAAGTTGTCAATTAAACAACATTTACCGGCCTGAATGTCCGAGAAATTTTCATAGAAAATATTCATCCTCCAGCAGGAATCGAACCTGTAACCCATACGGAACCGTCATATAGCCTGACGTGCCTTTACCGACTGGGCCACAGAGGAGCGTTTCGGCTAGCACGGTCGATTTTACTTTTTTAAACATAATTCTCCATGATTTTCTCTCATACATTCATATCTGCTAGATGCGTATCCAACTGTAAACAAATGACGTCACAGATTATAAAATGGACAAAGTCCGACAATTATTTAAGACATTTTTTATGCTTATACGTTCTTTTTATAGATACAAATATTTAAGTAAATGCTCTGTCTATAATAAACAGTATTAATCAATATTTACCGGACTGAATGTCCGAGAAATTTTCACAGAAAATATTCGTCCTCTGACAGGATTCGAACCTGTATCCTATATAGAACCGTCATTTAGCATGACGTGCCTTTAAGATTGAAGTTCAAATACAGTAAATTCGACCTTGCTAACAGATGGAGCTTCAGGCCATATATGGCAGCAATACTCCATGCAAGGGCGAATGGTTGATTTGTAGATTTGAAGGATCGACTCCGGCGGGAAAAATTTCCTGGCGCGACACAGGGAGCCAACTTTCCTTGCGGTGGACGAAGCTATTGACTCACTGTATTTGTTTCATCTCAGGTCAGCAGACAATGTGAGACCGAGTAGTCGCAAAGAGATGCTCTCGTGGAGTTGAGCGTCATACATTCTAATGAGAGGCAGGGATGGTTCTAATAGAGAGCAGTTTTGTTTTTGAGGCATTAAAGTTAAACAGCCAATTCCTGCCCAAGTCCACAAGCCAGTTACTGTGTTCTTAATCTTACTTATTATAAAACGCAGATTATATGTGTGTGTGTGTCTGTACGTTTATATATTGGATCGGATTTCCTACATTTTTCAACCGATTTCAACAAAACTTCACAGGACTGCGTAAAATTACCTTGCGGTGGTTCTGACAGCGCCAAAAATTGGAAAAAAATAATTGTTTTTGCACGAAATCAATTTGAAAACACGATAAAACACGTTTCTCTCGCCAGAATGAAAGGGGAACAACTCATATCGAGTTATACTTATTATAAAACCCAGGTTGTGTGTGTGTGTGTGTGTGTGTGTTCGTTTATATATGGGATTGGATTTCCTACATTTTTCAACCGATTTCAACAAAACTTCACTTTTTTGGTAGGTAGTGTTTTTTATTGTCTTGCACACCCTTTTTCTTTATTTTTACATTCAGAATGCTTTAAAAATTCCATTTACAAGACAATTGTTTAAAATAAAATTCTATTCAATCGGTAGACTCATAACGATTGAAAACAATGTTTTTGTTTGAGTTTGGGTTTGACCAATTAGTAAAAAAAAAAAAAAAAAAAATAATTAAGACATGCGTGTCTATCAACCTTAAACAATGATCTTCAATTTTATTTTTCAGTCTTCATGATGGTCGATACTTGATCTATCTCTTACTGTTACATCCCCGGGCAACGCCGGGCTCTACTGCTAGTATATGATATAATGCAAAAATATCACAATGATATCACAATTCATATCAATGGGTCAATAATAATTTATAACTATTTATATGGGAACTCATGATCGCAAATGCAAGTAATTGATAATAATGCTTTAAATTTTGAAATCATATTTATTTTTGGCATGTGATTTTTTTTAAAACTGTTTCTAAATGATTGCCTTTCAATTATTCCGCCTCACCTGCTATCCTCTTCTGCCCCACATATGAGATGCGCTGAACAGTTTAGAAACCACAGGAGTGAGAAGGCCATAGATTTGGATTTGGATACATGTACCCCAGCGTTAGTTTAATAATATATAGTAAAGTCAAAAGGTATCTTAATATGTATTCATGAAATAAATTCTGAAGTATGTAAAAAACGAAAACATATTTGATACAGTCGAAGGCTTTATGGAACCGACTCACAAGAAGATACTTCTTGATCACTACAATCTTAACCTATTCAAGTCTAAAGTTAACCGCTATCTTCCCTGCATATCCCTATAAACTGTTCCTCTAACTTGGTAATCATCTACTTGGAGTGGCTCCTAGACCTTGTGCAGAGTGAACATCATTTGTATATATATATATATATATATATATATATATATATATATATATATTACCATAAAATATTTTAACTGCTACACAAAAATTTCTGTTTCGGAACTTAAAAATTATTCCTCATGGGACGATGTTGGATAACTTATGATGAAAATGATTTACTTTAGTGAGTAAATCATTTTTATCATAAGTTATCAAAAATCGCCTGATGAGGAACAGTTTTTATGTTCCGAAACATAGAAACTTTTTGTGTAGCGATGTAAAATATTTTATAATAAAAATATTAAAAATTTTTTTCTC